TGTACAGCAAACTTTTTTTTTTAGTAAATGCAAAGTGTACACTTTAAAATAATGATAAAAAGTATAATACACTCAGTACATAAACCCGTCAGTTTATTATCATTATCAAGTATGCACTGAACACAATTATATGGGCTGTACTGTATACGAGTGGCAGCACAGTGGGGTGGCTCACACCAACGCCACCACACTCACACGAGTGACATGTCACGCACGCTTCAACGTCAGGAACAGCAGTGACTTCACTGGGTGGCGGGAAGATTTCAGCTCCGTTATAATCACTCGGATCACCACCATACATGCAGTCCACCGAAATGTCACGACTATACTGAAATTCTAACTGCTGCTTTTTAAAGGTTTTATTTATTTACTTTTAGAGAGAAGGAGGGAGAAAGAGGAGAGAAACATCGATGTGTGAGTATTGCCTCTCTCGCCCACAACTGAAGACCCGGCCCACAACCCAGACGTGTACCGACTGGAAATCGAACTAGCCACCCTTCGGCTCTGCTACTTTTTACCTGTCTGGCCTTCAGCAACAACTAAACCTCTCTCTGCCTTTTTCTCCTGTATGAAATGAAGCAAGCCCTAACTGGTGTAACTCAGTGGATTGAGTGCCAGCCTACAAACTGAAAGGTCACCAGTTCGATTTCCAGTCAGGGCACATGCCTGGGTTGCTGTATGGGTCCCCAACTGGGAATGTGCGAGAGGCAAACCGATCAATGTATCTCACACATCAGTGTTTCTCTTCCTTTCTCCCCACCTTCTTCTCTCTCTAAAAATAAATAAAATCTTTTTAAACAAATTAAAAATAGAATAAAATGAGGCCAATAATATATACGCCTTAGTTCTTGAGAAGATTCAATATGGTAAAAGTTCCTGACATGGTGATAGGCACATAGTATTCTCTAGATGGCTGCTGTTTTTGTTACAAATTGCCATTCACAGCGGAAATACCTCAGGAGAGTGGGTGGGCCCTTCTCTGGGGTATGGGAGACATAGAGGAATAGTGAGGCAGCCATGGGCCGTGGCAGAGAAGATGCTTCTACTAAGTCAAGAGACTGACAGAAGGCTGGTGCTAGGGGAGGGTCAGGGGCTGGTGGTGGTGGGTTTGGAGCTGCCCTGAGCCATGGCATGTCCGCATCCCACCTCCCCGCAGGCAGCTGCTCTCCTACATCACCAAGGACAAGCAGACTGAGAGCCTGGTGGAGAAGCTGTGTCAGCGGTTCCGCACAGCCCGGTATGCTGCCTTCCTCCAAGGTTCCTTGTGTTGAGAGGGGCCTGCAGGGGAGAGCACCCTGGGGCTGGGGGAGACTAAGGGAAGATGGGCCTTTACTTGTTCTGTCCCTTGCTGCTCCTCACAAAGCCTTTCCCATCTCCAGAACTGAGCGGCAATACCGGGACCTGGCCTACTGTATGTCACAGCTGCCCCTGACAGAACGAGGCCTCCGTAAGATGCTGGACAATTTTGAATGCTTTGGAGATAAACTGTCAGATGAGTCCATCTTCGATGCTTTTTTAGCAGTTGTGGGCAAGCTGCGGCGGGGAGCCAAGCCCGAGGGCAAGGTGAGCAGCCCCCTGTGGGTTCCACGCCACCTCTCGCAGTCTGCTGCAGTGTTCTGAGGCTCCACATCCACATTCCCACCTTACTCATCCCCAGCCTAATGGCATCATGGAGCCAGACAGACCTAAGACCAGACCTTTCTGAACAGTTTTAGGTTCAAAGCAAAACTGAGTGGGAAGTATAGAGTTGGTCCCCTTGCCCCCCACACACGCATCCCCACCAAGGTGACAGACACATTGTTATCATCGATGAACCTCCATGGGTACATCATTGTCACCCAAAGTCCATAGTTTACATGGTTCACTTGCTGCTGTACATTCTATGGGTTTGGGCAAATGTATAATGACCTGTGTCCATTATAGTACCATACAGAATAGTCTCACTGCCCTAAAATTCTCTGTGCTCCCCATTCACCCCTTTCTCCCCACAAACCCTGGCAGTGGCCACTGATCATTTTACTGTTTCCACAGTTTTGCCTTTCCCTGAATGTCATATAGTTGGGAGTCATAAAGCATATACCCTCTCAGATGGGCTTCTTGTACTTGGTGATGTGCACTTAAGTTTTCACCATGTCTTTTCATGGCCTGTTTTCTTTTTAATCATAGAAATAACTGTATTTCCAAGCCTTGTCTTGATCTCTTTTTCCCCCAGGCTCTAATAGATGAATTTGAGCAGAAGCTTCGGGCCTGTCACACAAGAGGGTTGGATGCACTAGAGGAACTTGAGCTTGGCCAAGGAGATAGCCTGAAAACACCATCAGCCAGGAAACAGTCCTCTGGTATGTGAGGCAGCCCCATGGGTGGACCGACCAGCCCAGTTCTCTCAGAAACAGGTTCTTTATTTCCTCTTGGACTCGTGTCCTCTGCCTTCTCTAGTCTCTAGGCACCAGCACAGGGCTTCTGCAGCCTCGGACAATGACTTTGTCACACCGGAGCCCCGCCGCACTGCCCGTCGGCATCCAAACACCCAGCAGCTGGTTAAGAAAAAGAAACCCCCAATTGTCTTCTCGAGTGATGAGTCCAGTGAGGAAGGTATGGCCAGCCCAGAAGGAACGAAGCCTGTGGCGGTTGGGGGGAGGGGCTGGTTTTGATGGGGTCCTGCTGTGTAGATTCTCTCCACTGACTCCCCCCCACCCCCAGTCATCTTCCTCCCTGTATAGTTGGGTTTTATTTCTGCAGTGTGGTCTGGGCCTATCCCATTTGTTCTCTGAGATCTATTGTTCCCCATTGTTGTGACTCAGCTTTTTCTCACTCCTCCAAATCTTTATAGAGCTTTCAGCAGAGATGACAGAAGACGAGACACCGAAGAAAATCACTCCCATCCGCCGAGCATCTACTCGCAGGCACAGGTCCTAGGAGTTTGGCTTGCCTGTTCCCATCCCTGCTGTGCAGGGCATCTCATGGGGTGACCTTGAATTCCACTCCCCTTGTAAAATACTTGTTTGCCTGTTTCCTTGGGTTTTTAATACACAAATCATCTGTACAATGGAAGACATTTCTTTTAAACCAACCTACCTGAACTGAATTGAGCTTTTACTAGAATGTTTGCCAGTCCTTGTTTTTTTTATTGTTGACATTATTGTAGATGTCCCAATTTTCTCCTTGTTTTCTAATGAATAAATGTTTTATCTACTTTTAGACACCTTACCTCAGCTTGTCTTTGTTCCATCTTTCACATTAGCCCAGATGCAGGCAGCAGGTAGTGTTGTTAATCCAGAAAGAGGATGCGCCCATAAGTACTAGGGCCCATCTCAAGATCTGATAACTGCACGCTCCTCGGGCTTCATCCTTCCTGACCTCCCCCTGCCCCACCCTGCACGTGACAAGATTGCTCCACTGTGGAGAATTACGAAGTGTATAGTCTCCAAATCTGTGCTTAACGTGCAGGCAATTTTGCCCTCTAGTGGGCATCTGGAAACGTGTGGAGACCTTTTTTTGTTGTCACAACCTAGAGGGGAGCGATGCTACCAGCATCTACTGGGCAGAGGTAGGGAGGTTGCTAAATAATCTACAATGTACAGGACAGGCCTCCCAACTTTATTATTCGATCCCAAATGCCAAGTAGTATAAACTTGAAAAAAAAACCCGCAGTAAACCAAAGACTGGTTTCCACTGTGTCCTACCTCCACCCTACTTGTGCTTCTGGACAGATGACTGGCCTGCCTGTTGGAAGCTCAGACCGTGATCCCCTCTGGCTCTAGACTGTGTCTCTAGAAACTGTCTCTCTACCAGGGTCTCTTCACCATGTTACATGGCTGCAGGAAGTCCAGCCCCTCAGGTGCAGGGGTTGCTAGTGTGCAGCCACCTGAAGCCCACCACCCCTTCCACCTCTCCCAGTCCTCTCTGCTGAGTCACCTGGAACAGGAGAGACCAGCCTGCTGTCCTGACAACAGTAGACTGCATCAGTGGGAGCTAAGGTTTTGGGGGGCAGATTTTTGTTTTGACAGGACAGTAATGAAAAATGACAAGCATGAGGCAAAGAGGCAGCCAGTACTTCCGACACATGCTCTGGGTAGTGCAAGAGCTCAGAGGCGCTCCTACAGCCCTGGTCAGGGAAAGGGTTAATGGGCCCGTAGCAGCTGCATCTGTCCTCCACTTCCCCAGCCCACTCTGCAGGGTGGGTGCCTCCCACCTCCTCTCAACATTAGGTGCCCTCTGGCCCTGCTCTTGCTGTTTGTGAAAAGTCCTCACGAACAAGGGAGGGCAATCCCAGAAAGGGAGGGGACTAAGGCTGGAGTCGGGGTGCAGGACAGCGTGCTCTCTGCCTTTTAAGCAAAGGTTATCACCAGCTAAACTTAGCCACAGGCTTTTCGGCTAGAAAAGGGGGCTGGTGTCAGGTTATGCTGGGCCAGCAAAGAGGCCCCAGATCCCCGGCCGGCGCACCTGCTGATAGTCAATGTCCATTTCACTCCACCCTCCCCAAACCCCTTTTTTCCGAGTGCTCTCAGAACCAGCCCTCCCTCCATCCTCAGCGCCCAAACCTGGCGCAGCTGTGGATCCCTCCCTCTGCCTCACATGTGGACATGTGAGAAGGGGCTGGGGGCCTGTTCCTACCAGGTGCCCCCAAGACCTCCCAATCTTTTCCCTTTTCTGGACTCCTCGCCCTGCCCCCAACATCTCCTGCGCACAGCCAGTGAAGGCGAGTCCTTGGCTCTCGGGCTGGCCGGCACGACCCCGGATGGGGAGGGACTTCCGCCCTCACGTCCCGCTCTCTGCCCTGGGCTGGAGGGGATGAAAGGGACATTGTCTCCCAGCCTGGGTGGTGCTGCCCTCAAGTTTGCCAGGAGCGACTTTGTGGGAGACTCCCAGCAGTGATCCCATCCTCCCTCTGGGGCTTGGGCCAGGCCTAGGGGAGAGCCGCAGGGGCATACAGGGCCCGGCCTCTCTGCCCCAGTTACCGGGTCTCCCGGCGTCCCGAGCTGCAGGACGGCGCGACTGACCTTCAGAGCAGACGCCTCCGCCTTAACTTCCTTTCTTTCCAGGCCCCACTGCTCAGCAGAGCCTGCCCAGCACAGGCCCCCCAGTCCAGAGAGGCCGGGAGCCAGGGGAGGGGGCGGGGGAAGGGGGCTAAGGAGGGCCCCGCGGAGGCGCACTGGCCCCTCCCGGGCCTTTTCCTCGGCTCTTCCTGTGTCACTACCAAAGAGCCTCAAGAAGTTCCTCAGCCTTCCCGCCTCAGCTTGTAAAAGTAAGAGGGAAGGGGTGGCTGCGAGCAGTCGCCCGCCCCCCTGGGCTCCAGCTCCAATTCCACATCCCACCTGCTCCTAGTTCTCCCGTGTCAATCATGCTGCAAACCTAACGCTCCTAGCTCTTGCATGTCCTCAACTCTCACAAGGGCTCCGGGTCCTCGAGCCTACCGTCTGCAGCATGACTAGAGGCACGTCCCCCGCATCACCCCGGTCACTCAGTCCCCTCCCCCTCCGTCCCTAGCCCGCACGCGCGGAGCGTGCCCAGTCGAAGAACCAGGCAGGTCCAAAAGAAAAAGAGGGACACGGCTACTAGAGGTTTTACGGGCGCACGTAGCTCAGGCCTCCGCGCCCTTGGGCTGGGACTGGGCAAGCGGGAAGGAGGTGCTCCCGTCTCACCACGCCCCCGGCCACGCCCGGTTTCCATAAATTACGACTGCCGCCATCCCCCCGCGCTCTCTGCTCCTCCTGTTCAACAGACAGCCGCGTCTTCCTGGGCAGTGCCAGGTAAAAGTAAAAACAGGCAGGTGCCACGAGGGTCTCAGGGACATTACAAAGGAGCTGCGGGCGCGTGCGGGCCGGGGGGCGCAGTTGCGGGATTCGGTCCTCTGGGCTGGGGCCGCAATGCAACAGCGGAGGGAGACGTGCAGAGACGGAGGGAAGGGATGGTGGCCAAGATATGAGGGGGGTGAGGAGAAGCGCGGGGGAAGGTGGGGAGAGGGGAGGAGAGGACCGCATTCGAGCCTGGTGCCCTGATGCTCACCCTCCTTTCCCAGAAGCCTCAACCCTGAGACACGATGGTGAAGATCGGAGTGAACGGGTAAGTTAGGGGTGTGCAAGTCTTACCCTGACAGGGCCTCTGTAAGCGCCGGAGGGACGTGGGGGGATGGTCGTACCCTTCCCCCAAGGAGAACTCAAGGTCAGAGAGAGTTCTGACCCTGCGGAGGCTCTCAGAGGGCCTCTAGTCCCTCACCCCAGCTGTTGCGTCTCCTGTAACTCAGCCCCTGCGGGGACAATTCACCCGGGGCCTTCTCCACCCGCCCCAGAAAAGCAGGAGAGCCCCCAGTTCTGGCTTTGGATCCATCTCCTCAGTCCCCTAGTTGGGGCTTCTTTCTCTGCTTTCGCGCCCCGCGGGGTCACGTGCTGGGGAGAAGCCCCTCCCCCAGCCCCCTTTGCCCCACCTGGCCCCACAGCGTAGGGGATGCAAGAGGCACAGCTGCGCGCACACAGACGCACGCAGCCGGGAGGGCTCCTTTGCGGGAACCTAGCCGCCATGTTGCAACCGGGAAGGAAATGAATGAACCACCGTTAGGTAACCTCACTTACTCCAGCCTTCCTCCCTCCTTAACTATGACTAATCCTCCTCCTGCCTCAGTGGGGTGGAGTCGCCTTTATCCGGTAAACCTGGTGAGGCGAGGCTGTCCCGGTGTTGCTCTCCCAAAAGCTGGACCTCAGAACCGGGCCACATGCACTCCAGACCATCCTTAACCGGCCATCCAGATTCCCCCTCGGAGGGGATGTTTTTCGTAGGTGATCCTCTAATGAAACAAAAAAACGTGGCTTTATGGATTTTCTTCTTTTTTTTTCTGGGGTGGTGTGGTAGCTGTGGCTTAGTACCATGCTAGGGGAGCTGAGTCATGGTAGTTAGAAATTTTCACCATAAAATGGCTCCTGTAGCAGCAGCCCCTCCGCACCAGCTCCCCTTGAAATGCCTTCTGTAGATGCCTAGAACTCACGCAACCCTAAAGACCAGGTTGTAAAGGTCACTGGGAGGATTAGATGTCCGGGGGAGCCTTGGGATCCCTGCCCTTCTCCCCATTCCGTCTACCAGAAACCAGATCCTGACTCTACCCTAATCTGGGGTTAAATATAGCACCTGACCTTTCTGCAGCTGGGGGCCTGGCTTCCATGCTCCCACCTCTTTCCCTATACACAGACAAGTGTTGCTCCTACACATGATTTCTGGAAGGAAACTAGGAAGGACAGATGGCTTCATAATTAGAACCCCCGTGGGCTTAGAGGTTGAAAACAGCTAGTTTCCCCCATCACCTTCCCTTTTGTAGGAGGGACTTAGAAAAGGGGTGGGCTTTCCCCATCCAGTTATCTTCTGACCTTTACTCTTGCCCTTTGAGCTCCATGTTGCTGAGTGTACACGCCTTTGCTCCGTAGGGGGTGTGGCCTGAAGCTGGGCAAAATAGGAGCAAGCATTCCTGGGGCACAGAGAGTGGGGGTGATGAATGGCATGTGCTTAGTATGTGGGTGGCTGTAGCAGTGCCCTGCACTGTCACTTGAAAGATTTCAGAGGATTGGGGGGTCAGGCAAGTCTTTGGGCCTAATCACTATTCAGACAGGATAGCCTTCATTTTGTGGCCGTGCTATGGATTGCTGCCTTTTGAAAACAGGGTGGCCTGGTAGGATTGCTGGAGGGAGATAAAGTAGTAGACCTTTTGGGACTTTCTGGTGGCAGGGATGTACCATCTTCCCCTGAAAGAGGGTGAGTGGGTCACAGGCTACTTACACACCCAGGAGAATTATCAGCACCCTCCTTCTCACCTCTCTATCCCTCAGATTTGGCCGTATTGGGCGCCTGGTCACCAGGGCTGCCTTTTACTCTGGCAAAGTGGATGTTGTCGCCATCAATGACCCTTTCATTGACCTCAACTACATGGTGAGTATGTGTTGCCTTCGCAGTGGGTGTAGGAGGCAGAGGCTGGCTGGTGAGCAGTCCCCTGATGCCCTCATTTGTCCCTCCAGGTCTACATGTTCCAGTATGATTCTACTCACGGCAAGTTCAAAGGCACAGTCAAGGCTGAGAATGGGAAGCTTGTCATCAATGGAAAGTCCATCTCCATCTTCCAGGAGTAAGTGGAAGGAGAGGAAGAAATTTGTTCTGGGGGAGGTGCTAAGATGGGGTGACCACCCTAGGGGACATGGTACTCATGTCCTTGAACTTTGTTTTACCTTCCATTGCAGGCGAGATCCCGCCAACATCAAATGGGGTGATGCTGGTGCTGAATATGTTGTGGAGTCCACTGGTGTCTTCACCACCATGGAGAAGGCTGGGGCTCACTTGAAGGGTGGAGCCAAGAGGGTCATCATCTCCGCCCCTTCTGCGGATGCCCCCATGTTTGTGATGGGTGTGAACCAGGACAAGTATGACAACTCCATGAAGATTGTTAGGTAAGCATGGCAGAGGGATTGAGATGAGGTTGGCTGGTGCCGCAGGTAAAGGGCCTGTTTGCCCCTAACCTGCCTCTCTCTTTTCAGCAATGCCTCCTGCACCACCAACTGCTTGGCCCCCCTGGCCAAGGTCATCCATGACAACTTTGGCATTGTGGAGGGACTCATGGTAAGGTGGGGGAAGTGACCAGAGCACATTCATTTCTCATCCCTCCTCACAACACAGCCGGGGGGGGGGGGGGGGGGGGGGGCGTGGCTCTGGAAAACGTGGATCCCTAAGGATTGACTCAGGTTACGACATCCCCTTTATTTCTCCCAGAGGTGGGGAGGGAGGTTGAAGGGCAGGCAATGAGCACTGTGCAAGGACTTCATTCCATCCTCCATGTCCCCAGACCACAGTCCACGCCATCACTGCCACCCAGAAGACCGTGGATGGACCCTCTGGCAAGCTGTGGCGTGATGGCCGAGGGGCTGCCCAGAACATCATCCCTGCTTCCACTGGTGCTGCCAAGGCTGTGGGCAAGGTCATCCCTGAGCTGAACGGGTGAGGCTTCTTGCTGCATTTCCAGGCATGGGGACTGGGGAGCCGGGAGCTGGTGCTGACCTGGTTTCTCTTTGCAGGAAGCTCACTGGCATGGCCTTCCGTGTCCCCACCCCCAATGTGTCAGTTGTGGATCTGACCTGCCGCCTGGAGAAAGCTGTAAGTGTGGGTTTGAACAGCTTTGATGGCTGGGGGCTTGTCTCCAGTAGGATGGTGGCAATACCAGAACTTCAATAACCATGTTGATTTCACCTCGTTAGGCCAAATACGATGACATCAAGAAGGTAGTGAAGCAGGCATCTGAGGGCCCCCTCAAGGGCATCCTGGGCTATACCGAGGACCAGGTAGGTACTGATAGGATGGGGAGCTTGGTGTCCACACAGCCCCACTGAGCAAGACTGGATTCCCACACTTGCCCTTCTCCTTTCCTCAGGTTGTCTCCTGCGACTTTAACAGTGACACCCACTCCTCCACCTTCGATGCTGGGGCTGGCATTGCCCTCAATGACCACTTTGTCAAGCTCATTTCCTGGTGTGTGGCTGCCCTGGGGGACAGGGTTTAAACTGATTGGGGGTCTGGCGCCACCTGGTGGCTAGATCAGAAATATAACCCTAACTATGTCTCCCCTTCCAGGTATGACAATGAATTTGGCTACAGCAACAGGGTGGTGGACCTTGTGGTCCACATGGCTTCCAAGGAGTAAGAGCCCCATGGACCACCAGCCCCAGCAACAGGAAGAGACCCTCACCTGCTGGGGAGTCCTTGCCCCAAATTGATCCCCCAACATGCTGAGTATCCTGACCTCCAGTTTCCATCCAAGACCCCCCTGAAGAGGGGAGGGGCTTAGGGAGCCCTGCCTTGTCATGTACCATCAATAAAGTTCATTGCACCCAGCCAACTCTGCTTTATCTTATTTCAGGGTCAAGGACAAAGGGGAAAGAAGCTGGGCTGGTACTAAGGTGAACCTGTTCTTGTTGATGTCCGCAAAAGGTCTTGCTTGCCCCAGCCAGGCATAACCATAGTGGTAGATTTAGAGCTGGCATAACCTGAAGCATTCCTTAAAGTGTGCCCCCTTGTGCCAGGTCCCTGCCTGGGGCTTGCAGAAGGCAGTCAATGTTTCCCTCCCTCTTCCCCTCTCTAAAAGTAGTCTTAAAACCAACTTCCATAGGCTTAAAGAACAAAGACCAAAGCATGTGTGCCCACACACCACTGGTGTGAAGAACTGTTCTCGGCTCTTCCCTGGCTGTTAGGTGTCCAGCATGGACACAAGAGGACCATGCTTTTCTCCCTGCAGTCCAGCCACCAGGTGGGCTGCACACAGCTCGCATCTTGGCTAGAGCACAGTGAGCACCATTTAATCTGGGACATGAGAGGGACAGGGCGTGATGCACCAGGGCTCAGGTGGCAACAGGCTTGGTGCCTACCTAGGTGGCAGGCACGGCAAGTTCTAGCTTCCTGGGCCTCACCTTGTACCTGGTGTCTGTA